TTATTTATGGAAAGTAGACGTCCTAGTAGACATTGTCAACCAAACACAGTACTCTGGTCACCTCCTGTCAACAGTATCAAATGGTGTAATTGTTTTGTTCTTGGGATTTCTTGAGGGTTACTGTGTAGAGTCAGAGAAGCTATGTGTTGATAGTGGGCAGTGGCATCAGGTATGAGTGTGACTCCTGGCTCTGCCTTTCACAATCTGTGTTATCTTGGGCAAGTTAGCATCTCAGACCTTCAGTTTTTTATTTTTTCATGAGAATAGTAGTATGCCTCTCCTTTCATTTTTGGAAACATTTAGCATAATTTTTTTTTCTATATTTTATTAATTTTCATAAACATTTACAGAGATTTTGGGTTTCCATTCATTCATTGTTGCACTATTCTCTCTACCCTCCTCCCAGTTTGTTCTTGTCCAAATGCCACAGTGCTTGTCAAAGCCAGTTCTGATTAATCTTCATTTAGCATAATTTTTATTATGTGTGAGACACCAAGTACACATCCACTTTTGTTCCCTTTCTGGGTTTTATCTCCTTCTTTCAAGTAAAAAAACTATTCTAGTTTTGCAAGTGCTGATTCTGAATAGCCAAAGTTTTACCCCATTTTCTATGATTGGCATCCACAGAGAGGCATGTTACTTTCTAGGGGAGATTTATATTTCTGTTTTGGAGTTTATATTAATGTTCTCTCCCCTCTACAACTTGATATATAGTTGCTAATAAAACTCTGAGTTGCAGATGTGAAGTTCTTAAACTCTTATGTGCCTTTTGGTCTGTATTCTGGAAAACTTCAAGTGCTATAAAGTGATAAAGTGAGGTGTAATCTGATTGGATTTGTGTAGCACAGTCCACTTAAGCAGCAGTCCAAGCTGCAGATAACAGTGTGCTGGTGTAGAATGGACCATAAAACCCTCAGTTCTTGACATGCATTGGCAGCAGTGCACAAAAGGCAACACAAAAACACAGATATATCCTGGAAAAGATAAGTGTGGGAAGAGGAACTGCCTTATCGTCAAAACAATGGAGAAATGTGTGAGAGTGAAGGCAGGAAACAGGTCAGAATCACAAGTACTGTTTTGCAGAAGCTGGCAGCAAGCTCTTGGGGTAGCGAGTAACAAATGATGGGGGAGTGGCTCTGATACTGTTTAAGGTGGAGTGGTAAGTTGGAGCAGCAAGGCCTCCTGTGTGATAAATGTCACGATGGGATGCATATTCATAAGGTTTCTGAATATGGACCCTAGAAGAACCGGAGTTGGTCTGGCTACCTAGATGAGGGTCTTGATATTACATCTGAACTATTTAACATCTTTCAATTAGATTCTAGTAAGACTATTTTAGTCTGTGCAAGGGACATTGTAGGACTGCACTCTGGCATAAAGAAAGGGCATGCATATTCCAGAGACCACAGAAGTGGTTTATCTCCTTGTCAGTGACATAGTTCTTAAATGTAAAGTAGCTTTACTCTGAGATCTGGAATCCCCCAAAGGCAACCATTTCTCTATTTCTTCATGTCTACCAAGGCATTGTTGATATTATATGACCTAGAATTGATTCCAACTAATAGTGTCCCTCTAGGCCAGAGTGAAATTGCCTCTTAGGATTCCCAAGCCTGTGATCTGTATGGAAATAGATTGCCATGCCTATGGAGTGCCAAGTGGCTTTGAACTACTGACTTTTCAGTGAGCTGCTTTATCACTGTGTCATCAGGACTCCTTCAAGGGAATAGGATGTGTCTTTATTCAGAAGCCTAATAATCTAATTTACATTTTTGACAGCTCCAAATTCCTTCTGAACTACTCTTATTGATTTATTTCAACTGAAATCGACACCTTCTTTCCTATTATATATTGATCTGTGTGTTTAAAAAAAATAGTAAAATCTATAACCTTCCTTCAAGGAGCTCACAGTCTTGGAGATAACAAAATAAATACATACAATGCAAGGGGAAAATGTGCTATGGAAAGTATAGCTAAAATGAGATGGATATTCAAGGTTATTCAAGGACAACTTCTTGGAGAGGTGGTCTTGGAGCTTGGTCTTTAAAGAGATTCTAAAAATCAGAGAGAGGTGGGACTGACAGGTAGGAAGGACCTTCTAGGCTGAGGATGTGGCATAAGGAATGTCCTAGAGGTTTCAAATAAGAACCTGGAGACAGAAGTTGGGTGGCTTTTGAAAACTACTTGGTGAGGAAATGATGAAGTCTAAATTAGGGTGGTGAGAGAAAGGATCCTAGATAACGAAAAACTAACCTTTTGTTTACGAGGAACAAGGATGGGGGAGAGAAGTCAAAACTATTGTCAAGTTCCAAGCTTGGGTGCTTATAAGGCAGATAGTACCATTCACAAGAATAATGGCCAAAGGAAGAGGAAATGAAAGAACACAAAGCACATAGCAGATTGGCCTGAACTCAAATAACAGTAGTGCAGATTTGGAGACCATTAACATAGGATCAAAATAATGAGATAAACTTTCCAAAAAAGATGGGAGAATGCAAAGTTGGGTACCATCTTAGCGTTTGGGTAGAGGGAGAAAAGGGCTAGAGATTTTCACTGAAAAAGTGGCTTGAGGGAAGAAAACTAGAGTATGTTCTTGAGCTAAAGGTGGAAACAAATTTTATGATGCAAGGTAGGGAAGACCAGAGAGGGGTCAAGAAAATGAGCACTGGGAGGAGGCCATTGTATTTTGTGACTAGAAGATCACTATGACCATGGACTAGACATGTTTCCTTGAAAATAGAGCAAAACAAAGTTGATTATGATTTATGGCAACACTGTATGGGGTTACATAACTCCATGGGGTTTCATAAAGTTAATCTGTAACTTTATAGAAGCAGATTGCTAAGGATATTTTCTCTGGTACCACTGGCTAGGTTTGAATTGCCAACCTGTTAGTAGTTGAGTGCAAACCATTTGCAACATGTAGGGACTTTCAACTTCTTGAATCCGTTTTGGAGGTTAAGCTTGAGGAATAGATAGCTAAAAGAGGGATTTCCCTCTCCTTGACCCAAGAGATTCTTGTGCCCAAGGAAAAGGGCATGTTATTAGGTGCTATCAAGTTCACCCCAACTCAGTGTACACTGTATTTAGTGATTCAGAATAAAAGAGAAGTGTTCTATCTTGCAATATTTTTACTATCGCCTACGTTCTTAAACCTATTGTTACAATCACTGTGTCAATCTATCTTATTGTGGGTCTTCCTCTCTTTTGATGACCCTCTGCTTTTCCAAACATAATGTCCTTCTCCAGGGACTGACCTCCACTGACAACATACCCAAAATTTGTGAGGTGAAGTCTCCCCATTCTTCTTATGGCTGTTCCTCTTCTAAGAAAGATTTGTCGGTTTTTCATGGTATATTTAATTATCTTCATGAGTACCATAATTCAGATGCATCTGTTCTTCTTCAGTCTTCCTTATTCACTTTCCAACTTTCACATGCCATGAGGCAATAAAAAATACCCTGGCTTAGTCAACTGTATCTTAGTAATTTAAAGTGGCATAATGTACTCTTTAGCATATTAAAAAAGTCCTTGGCTGCAGATTTGTTCAATGCAGTGCATTATTTGATTTCTTGACTGCTGCTTCCATGAATGTTGATTTTGGCTCCAAGGAAATGAAAAATCTTACCAACTTCTATCTTTTCTTCATCTATTATGATGTTGATTGTTGGCCCAATTGTTAGAAGTTTTGTTTTCTTGATGTTGAGGTATAATCCATACAGAAGGCTATAATCTTTGAACTTCATCTTCTAGGAATTGAGATTTAAGTAGAAGAAAAAGTACAAGATAATTGTTGATGACCATCAACAAATGAATGGATAGAAAAACTATGGTATATCCATTCACACAATGGAATATTACACAGCATGGGAGAGCCTGGAGGACGTTATGCTGAGTGAAATATCTGTCACAGAAGGACAAATATGTCACAAAAGGGCAAGCATGGGGGGCGTCGTTTGGAGAGAGAATGGAAAAGGGTGGCTAGATAAAAAAACACTGCACTAGATCAGATGAAGGGAAGAACTACCTGAAAAGAATATATAATTAGGTATCATATGTATGAAAACAATTTGGAACAAGAGGTGCATTACTGAAAGAGAAGGGAGCAGTATGGGAAGGAAAATGAGCAAAAATGGGAAAAAAATGAAAACATTTTGAATGTTTGAAAAAAAAGATAATTGATATTGTAAAGACTTGAAGCATGTGGTGTGTGATAGATGCTACTTCTCCGGGAAGTAGCATAGCGTGGGGACAGTACATAGTGTGAGAGAAAGTTGAGGTGAGAAGAATATGGGGGTGTTCAAATCTCCTAATAAAGTGTGAAATCTTGTCAAGTCTTGAGCTTAAGGGAGTTGAGAAGGTGTGTCAAATACAACAAAAATGTTGACTTAACAGGCATTTCAGAGCCTTTGGCAGGACACATGTAGTTTTAGGTAATATGATTTGTAGTGGAGCTTGTCTCCCCAGTTTTGTGACTTTTCCTTTGAACTCTTGGCACTTGAGGAGAAAATGTAAGCACTATGCTCAGTTAAGTATGCTTAGTTAAATATGGTCGAAAGAAGAAGAAGCAAAGTCATCCTGAGCATTACGAATATAAAAGTCAGGCTTGACTGACTTCCGGTGGACATGAAGCATTGAGACCAAGAAACTACCATACTCCTGATGAAGTGATAGTGCACAATTAATAAAAAAGAAGCTATTTTCTGGGATTGATAAAAGGTGGAACAATAAATATATTCCCTCCAAGTCATAAAAGTTAAGTCAGTTCCATTTTCTCCTTCAAATTCATCAAATATTAAAAAAACCCACAGATGGATGAAACAAGAGGAATAGTAGCCTCCTAGAACTGAAGGGAGAAAAGAAGAGATAACTGAAATGGGTTTTGGAGCAGAAGGAAAAGAGGGGTATGTTATTGGTGTAAATAGTTGAACTGGAGAGAAACACAAGCTCTTTTGACAAAGATAGTTAATCTTTACCTCAATGTTCACTTTTCCTTTCTTTAGGAGCTCTTACAGGCAAAACAGGATCTGCAAGATCTACTCATATCCAAAGAAGAGCAAGAAGACCTCTTGAGAAAGAGGGAGCGTGAACTCACTGCCCTGAAAGGTGCTTTGAAAGAAGAGGTTTCCAGCCACGATCAGGAGATGGACAAGCTGAAGGAGCAGTATGATGCTGAGCTGCAGGCCTTGAGGGAGAGTGTGGAGGAGGCCACCAAGGTGAGTCAGCTGAATCGAACCATGGGAGATGTCAGAAAAGGGAGGGAACAAAGGAAAGTGTAAGACTACGTGTCCCAAATAAATTCAAGCTTAAACCCCTTGTTTTAATTACAGAGTGAAAGTTGGGTGTAATTAGCTCGTGGAAACAGAGCTCATCAATAAATGATAGATGCGGCAATTCTGATTTTGAACACTTAAAATTTATCAATGTACAAAAACTGATTAAAGTCTTTCAGTACTACCTTGAAGTGCAATTGAAAAGATGACAAAAGAATGAAGTTCTGAAGGTCATTGTATAGTAGAGAGCTAGAATTTGCGAGGTGTTTCTACAGGTCCAAGGTCTAGCACGTTGTGTGATTCAGTTAATGGTGCTGCTTTTCAGGGGGACCTAGATTTCTGAAATCTACTTCTTTCCTAGCCCGTTCTTTATGGCTTGCACTTCTTACCCACTCCCAGTAAAGTTTTAAGAAGGTTAATTAACTGATTTGCCCAAACTCTTCCAAAAGAATTTTTCTCTTAATTGAATTCTTGGCTTATACAAGTAGATGCTAAATTATGTTGAAGTCTTCTGGTGTGGATCCCATGTTGCTGATAAAAAAGAGCAAAGCAGTGTTTTTAAAGGGGAAATGCTTTGAAACTTCACACTGTTAGAGAAAGAGAGCCATTAACAAGAATATATGATTATTTTTAGATTCTCTGCAATATACAGATTAAAAGTGATGAAGAAATAGAACTCTTGGTATTATTTATTTGGCAGTGATTATGGTGACAGCTCAAAGCCAGCAGGCTTTGTCTCTCCTGAGCTCTGTGGTGACTCACTGATTTTCAATTATTGCATAGTAATTACAAATGACAAGAAATGAAAGATGGGTTTGTTTGTAGCAACAACAAAAAGTCTGGGGAATAGTCTTCTTTGAATTTTTATAACTTTGAGATGGTTTGGGGGGGGGGAGAAAGAAATACCACTCCTTGATTTGTCTGTATTTTAGCATTTATGAGACTCTGTTTAATCTAAGGGAGTAAAGGAAAATTAATTTAATTTCCATGACTTTGAGGAGATGGGCCTGTTTTTTCCATCTTGTTTCATTTTTGTGCAACAGCCTGTTACCCTAGTTTATTGGCCTTTGTGTGCTGTTGCATTACTGATGACATAGTGACAAATTACTAAGTATAATAATTTTCCTTTGACCTGTCATTTCTTTACTGCTTTCAGACCTTGGATCAAAGCTTGAGTTAATGTGGTATTTTCTGGGTAGCTTTTCTCAGAGGTTATTGAAAATAATGTTTGGATATATATTTGTGGAAATTTTACTTTAAGGATTATCATATTTAGGCCACAAGTGAGCCATGAGATATTTCATTAGAAGTTTCTAGGTCCTTTATTGTCACAGATATAAATGAGGAGAAAGGAAACATGGACAGCAAAAAAATATATCTTTCTTGTATAAAATCAAGATAATCTTGAGAGATTCAAACTATTGACTTAGATCCTTTGGAAGGTTCATATTGTGTATTGGCACACATAATTTTTATTATGCAAGTTCAAAAAAGATATTGGAAAAAAAGGAAAGATATTGACACACTTTAATCTTTGAAAGAAATAAAAGATTAGTTGTTGTTGATTGCCCTTGAGTTGAGCATGACTCATAGCAACCTTATGAACAAAAGACCTGAAGCCTTTTTATAACTATTGCTGTTTCTCAAAGTTCATAGAAGTTCCAGAAGCATGTTGTTTAAGAAGTGGATGCCACGCCTGCTTCCAAACCTGTCTTAAACTGGGAGCTCCACCAAACACTGCCCACCATGGGTAACCATTATGCCATTTTACACTCCTATAACATAAGGTTCAGCATCATAGCAACCCTAGGTAACCTTAGTACAGCATATTGACAAAAGAGTGCTGCACCACTTAGAAGAATGTTCTTCCAAAATATAATAGCAACCGCCTTTTAAATGCAAAGGCCATCCCTGAGGTATTGTTGTCTCTAAACAAGAGGCTTAAAAACCCCCAACCAATGTAGTATATGTTGTTACGTGCCATTGAGCCACCTGTGATATAGTGACCCAATGTACAGCAGCTCTGTCCTTCCCTGTCCTGAGCCAGTCTCACTAATCCTTACACACCATCCCCCATTGCCCCAGATACTGTATCAATCCATCTCACCCAGGGCCTTCCTCTCCTGTGCTGTCCCTCCCGAAGACATTATTTTATATGGCAGTCTAGTAGTAAGGCATTGTGCTGTCAACCCAAAGGCATGATGTTCTAATTCATCAGTTGCTCCATAGGAAGAAGATGGACATTCTCCTCATGTAGGATTTACAGCCTCTGCAAACCCACTGGAAGGAGGGTCAGCTATGAGTAGGTGCCGATTTGATACCACTTAACAACAGCAGCAACACACACACACACACACACACACACACACACACACATTAGCACAAAAGCATTCATTGTGGCACATGATGGGGTGCATGCCAGCCAGGGTTATTAACTCTCAGTCTATACTGTATCTTTCTCTAAAACAACAAATCTGATCATATCAGCTTCTGCTTAAATAACTCACTGGGCTCTATACTTAGGTTTTACATTGTTAGTGTTGTACGCAACAGGGACCCCTTCTTTGCCTAACCATCTCGAGAAAATTCAAGATTTGTTTAATCCTTTTACCTCTGCACTCTTAGAGTGATTTCCTCCCAGTTTTTGTTTGCCCACCCTTTTCTCATCCTTCATGACTTTCTCTAAATGACCTCTCTCTTAAAGATGTTCCAGATCCTTCTCTGCCTCTTCCCCAAGGTGTTGTTGCAGCTTCCTTAGGATTTCTGATGCACAGTGGCTATTTCTCTACTGTAGTACTTATCATACCACGTTATAAGTTAACTTCATGTCTGTTTCTTCCATTAGACTCTGAAAAACAGGTGCCATTTTTGTCATTTTCTCCTCCTAGAAGTGAGAAAAATAAACGCAAATAAGTTATATGGAAGAGTAGAAAAGAAACATAAATGAATGAAACTCTTATGTATCATTGGGTTGACAGTAGGATATGGTGGCAAGTAAGGCAAGCAGGAGAATATGTATATTGCTGTGTAATTTGTTTCTGAACTGTAACTAAAAGTGGCCAATGAAAGAATGCTGGACCATGTTGCTAGATCTTTTCATTTTCAAGAATGTCAGATATCTGGAAGGTATCTCTTAATTCTTAACTGCTTAAAATCAATTAAATATTCAATCAATCAATCACATAATCCAAACACAACCTACCTGCAGGTCAAGAGTCTTTAAACTTTGACTTTAGCATGGTGCCTGGCACACAGTCACATCATGGGGTGTGAAGAGTTTAGTGTTCAAAATGACTTTCCATTGAGTTTGACTTTGCCATATGGATGAGCAGGAATATGAAGACAGGGTATGTTAGCCTATCCACAAAGGGAGTTGGCTAATCACCAGTCCACAAGAGGATTGGCTGGTCTTGCCATTAAATTGTGCAGCTCCAGCAGCAGAATAGTGAAACCTCATCACCAGCAAAGAAGCAGCAAGAGAATGTAATGTGTCCAGAAATTCTTGCATCAGCCAGAGTAGGGTCTATGGGAGCAACAGTCATAGCAGCCACAGCAGAGAACTAGAGACATGACATGAGTAGGAGCAGACATTGGGCTAGAACCGGAGCCTTTTGCTTAAGTCTGTTGGAATATTCAGTGGGAAGGGAGAACCAACATAGACAGGACTGAAAACATTGTGACATTGACCAAAAGCCATGAGGCGGAAGACTGAGGCGTCCATGAGCACATTTTGGAAGCTGACCTGACTGTATTCTGCTACTAACCAGAATCATAGCCTTTTGACTTCTCAAATATGTGGTCTGTGAGCTATTGCATAGGATTTTGGACCCAGTAAAGCAGTAAGATTGGAGTTGAGTTGAGTAGAAAGAGGTGCAGGAGCATAGGGGGAACATATCTGACTTCATGGAAATTGACTTGTGTAGTTGATGCTTTGATTGGGACAGTTCCCCTTTGTGAAGTTGGTAAAGGTCAGATATGGCTGTTCCCTGTGGTCCTTGCTCTTTTTAGACATCTTTTGGCCCTCCTACCTGGGAATGGAGCTCCTGGAGTATGGTTCCTGTTGGATTTCTTTAATGAGAGTGGTGGAGGCCTATTGAAAAACTTGACTATTACTTGGAATTTCTATGCTGAGAATTTTAATGTCTCTGTAATTTTTAATTTCTCAGAGAGGGTCATGATTGTGTTACTGTTCTATGTAAGCTATTGCTTCTGAAAATGGGTGTAGAATTAGTGATGGAATCACATTTCTTGTGTGAAGATTGTGTTAATTTAATGGACAGAGGCTGTCTTTTGTTATGTGATTTATGTTCTGGTGTTATATAATAGAATTTTGCATTATCCTATTAAATGCTAGTGGATTAAATATATTGTCTTAATTTAGGAAAGAGTGTTACTTAAGTCTAGAGCACTAGCCTTCTCTCTGCCCCAGGGAATCAATGCACTCACCACCATGATAAATACTGACATTTCTTTAAGGAACTGTCTTGCATTAAAATATCCAACCTCCTCTCATTGAAGGTTTTCTAATTTTTGCCATTGCCCTGGGGCCAAAACCTCTAAAGTGCTATTTTATCATTGTCAAATAATAAACATTTCATCTAGACCTGAGCTTAAGCACTAAAAGTTTTAAATTACCAGAACATTGGTGAAAATTGTCACATTCTGTTAAGAACATCTTACAGATTTCCAAACATACTCTGTAAAAAATGGGAGTTTTTTTGTAGATCTAAAGAGCCACACCTTTTAAAGAACAGATTGATGGTTCATTGGTATTCAGGCTGTCTTCATTCAGTGAGATGAATTGTGGTGATACTTTTAGTTATTATGTGAATTACTTAAAATTTTCTTCTTTGAGAGGAAAAGGACTTTTGTGGTCAGTTACAAAGGGGATTCTATCTATCAAAGATTCTTGTGAAAGATTTTTAAGTACTTTGGCACTTTAT